AATGCGATGGCGCAGAATATGACGACCAATTTTCTTCGCCATCCATTGCGAGGGAATCACATGAGAATGATAAATCGCGCAAGTTCCACCGTGATTTCGTGCTAGCCGAGAGTAATAATATACCGGCACGAATTTCTCCCTGGAGTGTCCAATCTACCTTCCGATTCGTTTAGAACTTTATTGCCACGATTCGCGCGCAATATCGTACGCTTATCGTACGAGACCTTTAATGGGGACGACACGCGATACGAAACATTAATGAGAGGGGAAATTGCTGCAACGTCGCTGATTCGCTATAAAATCGAAATAGAGAGATAAAAGAGATAAAGAAATTTAAAAAATACAAAACACGTACAGCTTTTATATCGTTAAAATAAAATTAAAATTAAAATCTGTAAAATGTTATTCAAGAATTGTAATAAACAATTGAGAAATTCCTTATTGCCGGTAAATGCCAAAAAAAAAAAGATTAATTAGCACAATGTCTTCTAAAATACAAAGTTATCGAGTCGCGAGATGAGAAATTCCGATAGAGTTGCATACCTGATGAGGTGATACGCATATGAATCTTGGCCACGATCGTCCTGAGCGCGTCGCCCGCTTCCTGCGGTTTAGCCGCGTAAGTTCGAAGCTTCTCCAACAGCGCATCGCTCACGACTTCATCCGCGTTTTTATTATTCGCTGACATCACACTAAACAACGCATTGCAAAAAACAACAAAATATCATTTACTCTTCTAAAAGGGACTGTTCGATGCGTATCGATAACACGGAAATTGCAAAAAGCCATTCCTGATTTTCTGATGAATGTAAGTCTACGACAAAAATGAACACATCAAAACGATATGCGCAAAAACATATAATCGAGTTCTGCCTATGATAACAAGTGAAACGATGAAGGATTACAAAGGCAATAAGCTAACATTTTGTTTTACCTGAAGCCAGAAACATATAAAAAAACGTGAAGCAGTAAAACGTAAGTAGTAAACGAATTGACCAATCACAATAGAGAACGTATGTTCATTACGGTCTCTACTGTTACATCTCATTACCAATCAGAGTTGAAAATTTTGATAACTTTTTATTGTGATTGACTAATTCTTACGGTACTTCTTACAGTTATTGTTACGGAAAGTATGTGCGGTAGCCCTTTTAAATAATCACATTACAGGTTGATAGTTGACGATTCTATAATTTTAGTTAATCACAACATAATTAGTACGGACTAGCTGCATCCTGATTGGCTAAAAATAGAACCATCAAACAGAAACCGTAACCAGCAAGCCATAAGATGATTACGACTTTATGATATCTGAAAAAGATAATTGACGATTATTTTCTCTTATATATGCAAGTGATATCGCGAATTTCGTCTTTCCCTTCGTATTTCTTATCAATATGCTAACCATGATATAAATGTATTTATATCATGATACTAACTTGCTTTAGGTTACCCATGACAGATGCAAAAGCGATAGCTTTCTGTCACGACGGGACGAACAATGGTGTGCATCGCGCGACCGTTGGCAATACATCGTCGCATCAATGAATCTTCATTGGCTTTCAGCCAACGCGGTCGGAAGAACTGTTAATCACTATTCACAATCAGTTGGTCGGTTAGTCAATGTCGCGGGGATAAAGTCAACCATCGGAAAATTGACACGCGTCGGTGCCAAGGTTAATTAAAATGATCAGGTAAAACGCGACGCTCTAAAATAACTGCCACACGGATTGTCCTCGCACGAGCTGCGATTCTGAAAAGAACGACCAGAAGGAACTCATCGAATAATCAAGCGTCCAATTTCGCATCAACTAGGTAACCATGTCATATTAAATGACATGTTTCACTTGGCCACGTTATGAAAAATCGTCGGCAATATTAAGAACATCGTAAAATTATTTTGATTTTGCCTCTATTTATCCTAAATTTATCTTTTGTAAGATCTAATTTTCTCATGTTTAATCTTAACTACGTGAAATTGCGAAGCAACTAAAAGCAGAGGACGGCATGCGGAATATTTGATATGAAACTATTTAAATGATATGAAACTATTCTTCAAGAGAGAGAGAGAGAGAGAGAGAGAGAGAGAGAGAGAGAAAGCAGGCAGATAAAAAAATAAGAACAAAAAGATTGATGTTTAGTGATAAGATATTTATTGATAGCTTACTAATTACAGACAAATTCTTTAATGGGTGTACTTTTCTGTAACATATACAGTGTGTAGTTTGAAAACACATATAAAAAAAATACTAAATTTTAATGAATATTTGTTCGAATAGTTCTAAATAAATATTTACTAAATGTAAACTTATTTATTTGATACAAAAGTTATTCATTAGATTTAACTATTATTCTTATATTGAATAAATATTTATTTACTGTAAGTAAATGTCTTATTGTTAGTACTATTCAAAGAAATATATATTTAAGATTTAGTAAATTTTTTTCACTATCTAAATGTTCTCAAAGAGTTAAAGAAATGTGTGAGTTACTGCATTAAGCATTATATCGGTGCGTCAATAAGAGAAGCTAAGGTGATTGAATGAAATCGTAGGATACGGTGTAACAATCGTAAAATTTCTTTGCGTCGGTTTATTAAGTGGGATAATTGAAATGAACATTATAGCTTTGTAGGCTCCTTTAACGATGATATACTCGACGTCTTTGAGCCGAACAATAATAATTAATGTATATGTTTAGTGACCGATAATGCTACACGTTCAATTGGTACATAAAAGCTAGCTCAAGCGTAACGAATCGCGATGCAATCTCGATAAAAAGAAAAAAGAATATATCGAATGAAACAAATTCAGCGTTCACACGCGAATATATATCAGAGATCAGATTATTTTTCATCCGAATTTATTACCGATTTGCGAAATGTATTTTAAAGTCGCTTAAGATATTCAAACTATTAAGGAAACGTGAATGATTTATAATTATAATAAATAAAGCGTGTGTTATCGATGTAATTAAAGTTTTTAAATTTTCATAAAACAGATCTACTACTGATATCAGAAAAAAATTTTAAATCTTTTGCCTCGCTATATAAATATATAGCAATCATCAGAAAAGCATATTGAAGTAAATACCGCATACAGAGCTTACGCGACCGTACATACGATCGTCGACGCCGGAAATCGCGACAGAGATGACGAGCACGCACGTACACACATATACACACAGAAATACGATTCTGTCTTCTAAGCTCTTTACTCTTCCTGCTGGACGTCGGCTGTATTCTCGTCGACTGGTTGCATTGTCGCCATCGGCTGTCGATTCTCCTTGTCGAATTCCACCGACGTACCTTTCATGACTCTCCCTCCATCTATTTACTTTTGTCAAAAGCCGAATTTCGATAAGTTATGACTGATTTAAGAAAGGGTTCTCGGGAATAAAATTTTTTTCGGGACTTTTCCGGAGTGATTTGACAGATATCTGTTGTGAGAGAATTGTTCTTCGCGATGCCAACGACTAGATGCAAGATCTTGGCGAGAGCGCGAAATTCGCGAAGCGATCCTCACGCTTCGCCACTCCACGGCGATTTGACGTTTCTGTCTGCCAAAACTATGTTTAAATGCAGACCGCGCGCGCACACACGCAGGGCGCGTCTATTTTTAGCGACGGCCGCTTCCCGAAAATCGCGCCCCCTTTCTCTTATCCCGGCGATAACACCCTCGCGTCATCGACCGATGCGCCGCGATGCATCGCCGAAGTCTCGACGTAAGAAAGTGTGAACTCCTTCCTTCCTTTTATCTCTTTCTATTCTAGAGACCGAAGTAACACGATTTATTAAATGAAGAAAAAACGTGCATTCTTTGCAATGGATAGGATTCGTTCTATATTTGCATATAGATTTATTAACATTTTTATGTCGGACTTGATTCTTGAAAAATAAATGAACATTTTCGAAATCAAATAATTTACAAAATAGAGAACTGGCAGAACACGAAATTCTCTCCGCGTCTTTTACAGTGCGAGGATCTCAAGAAGCAAAATCTCAAGAAAATAATTGCTGTTTATTTAACGAGTGCCATCAAAGATCATCATCGCGTTTGGTTTGCCAAAACGAAAAATACTTCCGCGATTTTGCTATAGACTTCCAAAACGTCATCGGTTCTGCTAGAATGCGAAAGATGTGGAAATGAGTTACGGCGAGCAGGTGAACATATTGCAAAATTTTATCTAGTTTACGTATTATTTTGTATGACGTTGAAGAAATATTAGAAGTTTCTAAAACCTATGTGAATTACTTAAGGCAGATTTGCTTAAATTTTTTTGAAATTTTTTTGAATATCCAAGCGGCATTTTGAAAAGATCCAATGAAAGACCATCTCATTTCGGTAACGAGAATTGCATAAAAAATGAGCCAGTATTGTTTTTCATAAATTTTCATTGTCAAACGCAAAACAATTTTTAATTATGATCACTGAAAGCAAACATTACAGTAACATTAATATTAATTAATCATATAAATTAATATAGCACACGTACACAACAGTGACATTGTTGAATAGGAAATTACAACATTTAATTATATAACAAATTATATAATAATTATTTAACAGAAAGCAGTTTTGCAACTGTTATAAGATTCTTCAATACGATTAGTCTTATTCTTAGATCTTTATTAAATTTAAACATATAAATCAATTATATTATGGAATTATGCAACAGTAGCTTTTTCTGCTGAATGCAACCATTAACGTAATAAATATTAAATGAAAATAGACCGATGAGATTAAACACACGTGAACGAAAAATGCCATATTCGAGGTGGTTCTTCATGTTTAATAATATTTCTTGTGAATTTATACAGTTTCCAGTTCAAGCTAATTGTAAGGATAATTTGTCAATCTTGAAACATAGTTCTAAACCGAAACGAGTAATCATAATTAAATTGATAAATAATTTAATAATATTGATACTTGATGTAATTACTGTTATATAATATTGGTGCTTGACGTAATGTTACTGTTATATAATATTGACGCTTGACATACTGTTACTAATGTTTTGTAGGATAGCGAATATGAAATCTGATTAGCAGAACTCATGCTTACAATTAGATTCTTGATTTTTGTGTTAAATTCAATCAATTAAAATCGATAATTTGTAACAAAAAGTTTCTATGAATGACTATTCGATGCAATTAAGATGTCACATTGGAAAAAAGATTTGGATTATTTATTTAATTACTACCTAAAATCATAAAATCAGAGGTAGTATCAACGGCGCGATATTCGCGTGCGGCTGTCATATTGGCGCATGTTTATTCACGTGCGGCACGTTCGCCGTCATAAAGACATTAAAATTGTGCACGAAACGACACATGATGCGTTATTAACGGAACACGACATTCGTGGAGTTTATCAAAAACAAACCGGCACGAGACACATCGAGATGAATCGTGTTAAGAATTGAGGCGAAAAGGGAGGCGTTAAGAAAGCAGCCGTAATCAAGCAGGAAATGCGACTTGCTCTTCAAAGCTTCTTCTCTTTCGAGGATAGCATCGTAGTCAGCGATCATGTACGATCAACACTGAAATTACACGACCTCCGGGTTGAACGACGACTGGCATACCAGTGTTGAACAAAACCGAGCAACCAAGCTGTCTGACAATTAAGTGTACGAAGCTCACTTGTTGATGAACGCGAATTCGAGCAATCCTACGGATTGATTAGCGAACGTGCGAAGTTCCACGAGCACGGTCGAGTTCTCACGAGGCTTTCCTATCGATTGCTGTAAAGGCGCTTTAGTTCAAATTGGTCCACGCTCTCCTCTCGCCGGATTAGTCCATCCTGTGAAACTCAACTTTCGATCAACAGCGCAAAGAATCATGGTGAAAGAAAACTTCCATCATGGTGAGGATCTGATTAATCTTACGATAATTTCATATGCTATAATAATTACACATGTAATTATTGATGATGGCATTAATATAATTTAATTTGCTTCACTGTAAGTAAAGTACAATATTATTATCGTATATGAAGGAGAAGAGTATGAAATGTTGTATGTAAATTAGTATTTAAATTATAGTCTATCTCTTGAAGTGAAGTCACAGCTTGTAGATTCCTTGCTCGTAATATTGTTAACTTGACTCAATGATAATCGAGGAAATAAATTAAACACTGTATTATTTAAATAAAACAAATATTTTTCAACTCGTGAAAAATACAAGTAAAATAAGATTGAAATCTCAAATTTTATATAATATACAATATAAATGTTTATATAATCTAACATTCGTAACACATGAATTATCGTTGAGAGTTAATAATTTCAAAGTATTTACAAAAATTATCAGTATTAAATTTATTTTAAAAAGATAGATACATTCTCAAGAATAAAATATCAAAAACTCCATTTTTCATAACAGACAAAAAATATTCATAGATATGTCATAGTGGAAGAGACTCATGTTAAAGTATGTCAAAGAAAAAGAAACATTCGATTAGATTAATTGCATATTTATTATAATATTTATTACCCATTTGTTTGATCAACAATAATTTATCATCAGTCAGATTGCCTCACTGCTAAATTTTTTTTCTTTCATCTAATTCTCCGCAGGACGTTATCAGCGATTCTCATCGAGACAACCATACTCGACGAAATTGCATCTTTACGTCATTTAGCATTATATGTATGTTTATCTGATCAACGACGCGGCAACGGTTGGTATAAACGTCGGTAAATTTCAGCCGCCAAATTGTCATCAAGGTGACCGTCATGTTCGGCGACGATACACCCACGCGACTCAAACGTCACGTTTCCGTTCACGCTACGGTGTTAATAACTATCGGATCGACAACGTGGCACGAGGCCAATAAAAAGGACGCTGCATAGAGCATGAATCGATGAAACATTAGAAATTCAAATCCAACGTTCGTATAAGACGGACACTTGGTCTGACCACGCCTCTTATTCATGACCTAAGCACAAGAGCATAACCGGTTCACGCGACCATTTTCAACATTTAAACCCACTCTATGGAACACTCACGCTATGCGGTATTCTATTCGCGCACATCAATTTCTCCTTCGTCGTCTTTCGCAAATCATGCGGGAAGGACGTTTGCAAAGCGATCAATACGCGGCGGATTTTATTGAACGCTACAATCTCGCGCGATCCATTCTTTCGGAATTATCTTTATCGAGTTTTTGAGATCGCACACATAGAAATTCCCGATAGGAACACATAAAATAGTCGCAAAGCGAATCCTTTGAGCTCCGGTTCTATTCTAAACGCCTTAATCGTAATCCCTTAAAGCGTTCCTCTTCGAAAGAATCGAGAATCGAAAGGCGGAAACAGAGAATATCTTTAAATCTTTCCTGCAACGTATATATATATATATATATATATATATATATATATATATATATATTAATCGTTAAGAGAACCAGATAATAACAAGTTCATAAGTTTATGATCAAGGATATCAGCAAACGTCGGCGATACATTTAACCGTTAAAAGAATGCTTGGTTTCGATCATACTTGAAGTCGATACTGAAACTGATATCGAGGCCGCTTCTCACCGGCTCTCTTGAATTGCGTTACGAGTTCCGCGTTAAAAAAAAAAAGAAAAAGAAGAAAGGATAGTACGCCGCATTTTGCGTGTGCTGCCCGAACGATCGGGAGACGAGACGACACAACGAGTAAACGTTTGTAGAAGCAAAAAAAAAGCCGCAGATGATGTTCGACGGGGTGGGGCTTTACTCTCCAGGCCGAGAATATATAAATCGCAGGTAGGGCTGAAATTCAAGTTAGTTCGAATACGATCTGAGGCTATCGGCAATCTACAGAAATAAGAGATGCGGGTGAGTCGTTGCTATCAGTGATTCATTACTGTGGAACTGTTGTTATTGTTATTCTGTTCGATTATTTGCATATGTCTGGCGCCAATTTGACATTAAAATGAAACGGAATTTCTTCCTATTTGTTTTTTATAAAGTGATACTTGTTAAATTTGTCAGTGATTTGCTGTATTTCTGCTTTAAATTTTTTAATTTATATTTCACAAAAAATGAAAGATTTAATTAATTGTTGTTATTTATAATATATAACAATATTATTTATATAAAATCGTAAAAATTACTTTATTCTTACTGTACAGATAATATGAAAAAATAAAAATAGATCAAAATAGCGAAATATATTCATAGAATTATTATTGTCATACGTACTGCGCTGACGTCATGATGTTTTCGTGAAAAGTAATTTCATTTCTTGTTTACTCGGATCATTCACATGCAACACACGAAATTCAATGGGCAAATCTCATTTTAAGAAGTTATTGCGGATGTTTCTCATCTACGCTTTTGAGAAACAATAAACAAACGCATTATACCCTAACAATACCGATAATTAAGAAAACTTTAAATAAATATATAATATATAATAATAAATATAAATGAAATATAAGATATATAAATATATTAGAATATATTATAGATATATTAGAAGCACTACTAATTCTATATTTTAATGTTATGTTTTTCATCTAACTATTTAAATATAAAATCTAAATTACTATGTAAACGTATTTCGAAATGTGTTTAATTTTAAATTTGTTTGCAGGGTTCATTGTCATTCGTAATTTTCTTCGCGGTGATAGTTGGAGTAGCAGTATCGAAACCATTATGGTCGACTTTAGTCAGCACTAATCATCTGTATTCCATGCCCGGAATTGGACAACAGCAATATCTTGCCGCATATCAAGATACGCATTCTCCCTATTACATTTACAATGTATTACAGACATAAAATATTCTACAACTAATGCTTTAATATCATCTGTAACATAATGCGTCTTTTTAGATGTATTCAAACGCGGGAGGTATATCGAATACTCTTCATGTTAGCAACACACCAGAGATTTCTCACTTTCCTGCTTACAGTTTCTATTATGAAACACCAATTTATGATATCCGGATTCCATTAAATCCTGTAATTATATTATTTTAATGAATTTTTATTCAAAAAGATCACTCGAGTTGTACACTGTAAGCTACATATACAAATGAATAACTTGTATTATTCCAGGTTTATCCTGTGCTGACACCATTTCATCCAGGAATATCTCCGGCACTTCCGCCAACATCGACAGAACAATCTTCCGATAAAAACGATTACGATGGCATCGAAAAGTTAGATACGAAAGTCGATCCGAATACAGAGACAAAAAACCCAGAAAATACAGATAACGATTCCATAACTGTGGAAGCAATATGAGATAATTCTTCTTGATAAGTGTACAACGTAGCATATATGTGAAAAGTTACAATAAGTACTATCGTTTAATATGACAAATGTTCGCTTTTTTAATGTTACTTTTATATTTATGTTGCGCTACATCCAAGATATGTGTTAAAAAATTCTTTTTGACCAAATTTTTATTAAAAGAGAAAAATAATGCACTGTTACATTCGTACGCAAGAATAGCGTCTGATATTTGTAAAATTAAGATTTTGTAGGTTTCACTTTATTTATCTTTTCCCTATTTCAAATTATCATTTGAAAGTTGCTTGAAGTTATTTGCAAAATAGAGAGAGAGATGTTGATATTGAGGAAAAAAATATCAAATATAAATATATTTGTTAATTTAAAAAGTATTCATATTAATATCAAATAAACAATTAATATATCAAATAAAATTTCGCTGATTAATATTTATAATTGAAATAAAAAAAGAAGAATTTAAGTTTTAACTATTTTTTTAGTAAAAATGAACATGCTTTCATGTTCTTGATGTTTTTCTAATATGAGCAATACACTCGATTTCGCTGAAACAGCTCTTTAAAAGCATGTTTAGTTCCCACTTGTGCTTCTCTCCCTTCAAGTACCTGTTATCCTTAGGTCTTTTTTATAACTAAGTTAGTATACTTTTGGAACTTAAAATGAGATAGGTATATATTTAATATTTGGCGAAAGCGAGAAAAATATTACTAGTGTAGTCTATGTAGGAATCTGTAGAAATAAAAAAAACACACCTCTTGTTATTCGGCGAATAACAAGAATAAAATAATATCTAGTGACACTCTAAAAGATAGAAATCTGAACATAGCCTAAGTCTTAAATACACGTATACAATATAATATGTAATTTGTACATCTCGAAACTTTTTCATTTTAATTGAAAAATATTCAAAATTTATTTATATTGTAGTATTCTCCTTTGTATTGTAATAATATTGTTAAATTTTGTATGTAAAAGTAATAATATTTATTTACATCAATGATACACTTCTGTTTCCTGACATACTGCTTCTATTGACGTACTTTTTCCTAAATCTGTCAAATCCATAGTGATTTTTTTACATCATTCACAGCCAGATTCATTCTTTAAATTTTCTTTTTCAATAATTAAGATCAATCCATACTACTTGCATCTACACATCTTATTCATTCGCATGCATGAGAAATAGCAATCACATGCATAGAACGAAAAATATAGCAATGTGAATCATCGACTTGTCCTTGTTTAATACTTGATAAACAACAAGGATAAAATGAACGTTGCGAGTATCAAGTGGCATGCACCTTAGACTGTTAACTCGCTTATACATATACTATAGACAGATAATAAGCTTTCTATAAGTCATTAGTCTTAAAACACTAGATGTAGTAAACCTTAAGAAAGTGATCAATTAGCCCGGATTTACAATAGATTTTTAAGCCATAAGAAATGGATTACAATCAATTATTCTCCTCGCATTCAACTATAATTGGATAGTTTCTTATGGTTTAAGACTTAAAATACCTATTGTAGATCCGAACTTACAGTTGAATGAAAAGAATAATCGACTATAATTGGTCAATTCCTTATAAAGCTTAAAAATTACAACTATTGTGTTTGCAGGGTAAAAATACTATGATACTATATAGCACAAAAGTTTGTGATTTACGCACATTTATGCACTGCTTCTGATAAAATGATATAAACTAATTATATTATAGATATATTAATGCTTTTATTTAAAAGTATTTAATATATGAATAATTTAAAGATCTTATTCGATATTGCATTTCTATACTTTTTCTATTCTATATTTGACATCGAATCTAGAAAAATCTCGAATAATCGATATTGATATTGAATATCAATAGCTCTATTGTAAATAAACAAAATCTCTATTATAAATTTATTAACAAACATTTATTAATTTTTCATATCAGAAAAGCTATTTATTAAATCGACAGAATTCGATAGATTTGATATCGCCTCACAAAGAACAGGATAGCGACGGAGTAACTTGGCTTCGATAAATCAATCGTTGTTACAATGAAAAAAACGTCGAGGTCACTTACCCCGAGAATCCAAGATAAAATGGGGTCAAAGATGATGAGAAGTCTTCGAGTCCATCAGTACATCGATTTCCTTGGAACGCGCTCGTCGATATCGACGTTTACAAAAATGATTGTTCGCCATGGAACGTTATGGGCAATCGCAGTGCTGGTTCTTCTCGCGAGTGTATCATTTTCGGAATCTGTAAAATTGCGAAAACCACGAAAGAGGACCACAGCAAGAACTCCATATCAACAGTCCAGAATTGGATCGGTAATCATAAGAGTGATGCATAAATATTCTAATGATGATATCACGCGTAGTGCATCGGCTGGTTGTACTAACGGCAATTGTAGAAATGCGCACAATAAATTTAACTTTGAACCTGTCAACGAAGCGATGTCCGATAAAGACAATTTCCTCTCAGACGAGGAATCGTTGCGTTACGTCGTGCATCCGGAGAAATATGAACATTTCGTGATGAGAAAGAATTCAGGACACGCGAATAGATATAAAAGGAACTCTACATTTTCGGAATTACATTCATCAAATACAGACGATTGTACAGTGGTTAATCATGATGCGAGTGAAGTATCAAAAAACGTAAATAAAGGAAATTTTACGAAAAAAATATACAGACTTCCGTTATACAAAACAGTTTCACTAAATCCGTTCAATAAATACACAAAGAATCTTTCAAAATTTTTAAGTGAAGCAAGCAGAACGAGAAGAAGCCTCGCTGTTGATTATTCTTCGCAAAGAAACGATAGTGACAGTGGTGATGCAAGTAATGTACCAAAAAACGTAAATAAAGGAAATTTTACGAGAGTTCCGCTATATAGAATAGTTTCACTAGACGGGCTTAATAGATATATAAAGAATTCGAAATTTTTAAGAGAAACAAGCAGAATGAGAAGAAGCCTCGCTATTGACGAATCTTCGCGAAGAAACGACAATGACTATTATGCACAGCGAAAAGCTGCCATGGACAGATATTATGCTCGGCAGCGTGAAATAAACGCGCGATACGCTAATCGAACAAGTACGACGCCGCGATTAAAGTACAACAACGTGTCGCCGACAAGCAATGTTACCCTGTTCAATCTCGGACGTATATATTCTAATAAAGACTCGACGGCGAGGAACACTGCAACTTTTCTTCATCCATCCACAAAGATAGATCCAATATATAGCAACGAATCGCGATACAACAAAATACCAACGGAACTGGACAATCGACGAAACTTCGTTCCTGAAATTGAACCCGGTTTCAAATCTGACACGGATTTGTCTCAAGTAAGAAGCAGCGATAATAGCGAAAGAAACGCATTGGATTATTTCGTCACACCCACGCCCTGCACGAATTTATCCTCAAATGGCACTTTCACGTCGAAAACGCGATCCAAGCAGGCACAAAATTACACCAGTGAAACAGAGAACATCGAAGACTGCGCTAACAATTCAGCAGATAAGGTGCATTAATACAATAAATATCACTTTTACATCTCTTATGAATTTCTATCGTTTCAATTTTAATATAAAACTTTTAGAATGAATGTCACTCTGAAGAGTGAAATCTCACTCTTAAAGATTGAAAATTCAGCTACTCTTTTTTAAGATTGGCTCAATCTTCACTCCTTAGGACAAGATTTTTCCCAAAGAACTCAGAGAGTATTTTTTAATTGCCTTAGTACAAAATGTATTCTCTAAAATTTTTTTGAATAAAAAAATTAATTTCTCTCTGAAGAATGAAATTTCACGCTTAAAGATTGAAAGATGAACTACTCTTTATCAAGACTGTCTCTATTTTCGCTTTTTATTCCCATAGCAAAAATGTCATGGTGACATGCGAATGTTCGCTTTGTCACAGGTAACATTACTATGACATGATTATGAAGCGGTCATAAAAAATTGTACCTCACTGTAATGCTGCTATGACATGTACAAATTAAGATAATAATGTGACCTTTTGATAATCTCATAGTGACAATTTTGTGAGCCTACTGTGACGTCATTGTAAAGTTTTTTACTATAAGAGTAGAATATTCTATTACATGATATCTTACGGATTATTATATGTTTTATTTTCTAGAATAACACCGAAGGCAACCTACGATGGGGAAAGTGCGAAGGAAAAATTATGTATCAACACAATTTGCTTCTAGGATTAAGGGGTCCTTCGAACCTTGATGCTCTGTTTGAAGTAATCATTCAAGGCCCTGTCTGCATCACTTGCGTAGAAGCGTTGCGATATAACGAAACTAGAGCGACTGTCGCATTGGATTCCGGAGGCCGTGGATACGAATATGCAAAACTGAGGCTACAGGGTTACGAGAACGAAGGATTTTCCTACATAATAAAGGTTTGGGGTATCAATAAAATTGGTGAGGTTTGCGATAAGTAGTAGGCTAATCAAGATACAAGCAACGTATAAAAATAAATAAGCTAGGTAACATTATGTCATACACGTATAAATCATTAATATGAAAAAATCATTAATATGAAAAATTAAGTAATATTTTTATAAATATATTGATTTTTTATGACATTGTTTGTTTGATCTTACTTCGTATTAAGAACAAATAATCTTAAAAAAACAAGACAATCTTAACACATACGAAAGATACATCACAAAAAATAAAAAAAATTTTTCATAAAAGATATCTGCGCAAATAATCAAAATATTAAAGTACTTATTATTATTCTTCTGATTCAATATTAGTGTAGAACGTAGCGTTATTGTAGATAGAATTCTTCAACTTGTCGAATATCTGCATTGTCATGTAGATTAGAGATTATATACTCAAACAATTGCAGTTCAATGTAATGGCGCAATCAATGTACTAAATGCCAATTGCACAGCTGCGCCAACAAGCATTGATTATTCCTCAACATGTAGCAATAAAGATTCTTACTTTCTTAAAAAAAATTAAAGAAATAAAAGAAGGAAGCAAGAAATTCTGACAAATTTTATATTTATTCACACTGTAACATTCATTAAACAAATTCACGGAGCCTTTTTTTCACCTATTTATCACCATTCAGTTCTAAATATCAATATTTTCACTTTGCAAAGTTCAAGATCTCTTTGGAATGGAAATCGGAAGAGGCTGCGGTGGTACATCTGGTATTTTTTCTCGGTCATTTTTCGTATGGGTTCTCTTCTCGTCGTGGAAACTTGGTAATAGATGATCGGAATCGATGTTTCTCGGCGTGGTAGCTGGAATTGGTTCCAAAGACTCGTAAGGCTGGTAATTGATGTAGTAAGTGCCAGGTACGAGATGTGGGTTGAAGCCATTGTACGTATAGATGTACGGCTCGTAGTAGAGGGAACGATAGTTCGGATAGAAGGTCAATGGCTCCTGCTCGTTCTTCTTCGCAGAGTTCTTCGTACCGTTTTTCGGATTGTTTTCCTTCTCACGATCGGTGATAGCCGTGTCTTCATGTTCTTTTGCGATACCAAAGCTCATCGACTCGGCTAGGCGCGACGTTGAGGAAGAGGTCTGCGCTTGGTCGTTCCTGACCGCTTTATCAGCGGCGAACAGGGGATAATGCACTACTTCCGGCTCGACAAAGTGAGATGCTATCTGCGTATAATAGAACGGTGGCACGTAGCCGATGGCGGTTCGATGGAAGATTGGTTGTATCACAGGGAATGCTCGCGACGGCGATAGATTCTGATTGCTCGTAATCACGGCATTATACACCCTCGGTACCTTGAGGAGACTCCGTCGCGATCCTTGAGGAGGCGCAGCAAATGCGATAGTAGTTAATGTGCACAAAATTAGCAGCTTCATCTAGAAAAAATATTTTTCCATTAATCTTTTAGTTTTTCATAAATAAAGAAGGATATTAAAGAGGGGCCATGCTCTAAAAGATATAAATAAAAGAATAATTTTTTTTGTAGATTTTGACTGGATACGATAAATTATTAAAAAATTCGTGGCATTTGGAGAACACCTTGAAAATTAAATAAGAATATTGAAATTTGGATAAATACACCATATTCGTACTCAATTTTCAAAGTGTTCCCCAAACGCACCTTTTTCGGCAGAAATTAGCCTCTTTTTAACATTCTTCTTTATTTTTTTTTTCGTCATAATAAGGATTTCTAGTTACGTATAAAAAATATAATAATTGCAGAAGGATTCAACATAATAAATATATTTTATATGATTATTATATAATAGTATTGTTCTTCCTAATAAGGAAATGATCGAAAATATTCGAAATGACGAACAACGCCGAGAGAAGATGGGAGTGTTTCTGTGAAAGTAACTGACACTATTATTGTTTCTGGAAAAGTAACTGATACCAGTGGCGCAAGTGCCTCGCGTGTAAGCGCGCAAAACACTGCATACAAATTCGAGAGCCACGTGCACGGAATGTTACCCCGGCTATGCTCATAGGCGTGTACTCGAGATTGAATTATTGCATTTGAATTCCTATCGTGTTTGAAGTTCAAGCTCTCAGAACAATATAGCTGGTGAAATGTTACAAAGCCGCAGACCAGCTTAACAAATAATGTTTATTGATTTGAATCTCAATCTGTTGTATCTCATCTGTTATCAACAATATAGATTTTTAGTGAAAAATATAAAAGATTACTATATAAACAAAATTACAATAAAGAATCAACACAACCGAACTTTCAATTTTTTTGATCGATATTTATAGTCGATTCTTATATTTAAGTCTGTCTTAAATATTGTCGGTATTCATAATCTATTCTTATTTCAAGACCATCTTAAATAATGTCTTAAGATGCTAATACGGCTTTCTAATTGGTTCGTGACATGTTGAGACTGTTTTAAATATAAGACGATTTTAAAATAAAAATCGACTACGAAATATCTTTGTCTTTATTACAAAAAAAATTATTTAACTTTACATCCGTATAAATTTGTTTTTTGTTATATCAAAAGTTATATTAAAATATACATTTTGGATCAATATATCGAGAATATTCTTTCTACGTATAGTGAACAGGAAACAGACGCCAAGTAGAAAGGGTTGAAAGGTACGACTAAAGCCTGTCAGACAGCGTAGGTTTCACAAGGCGAATAATTAAGATCACGGAAATATGTACATGGCATTGTACCGGTGAATCACCTCATCAGCATTCATAACTTCACGGTGTCATTTGCACGTATCATTTCCTATCTCCAACAGATATCACTGTCACCTTGTCGAATCAGCTCGTCCTTGGTTCTATCAGAATTATAGTTAGCGGAGCAGTGCGTATTACTCGATTCGTATACTCACCTTCACGTCACTCTTATCAATTTCCGTCTCCTATGCGTTTCCTGTACGGCGAAGAATCCACGAGAAGCTGACACCACAAGTAGTAAGAGCGCTGCATGAGCCCGTAGTATATATGGCCCATAGGGTTCCAGGGTTCAAGTCCTGCCTCCCCCACTACGAGCGACTCTCGGCGAAAGTACTCTCCGATCACTGTAACGTCCAACTTCGGACCAGCCTATATCAGCGGTAGAACTGCAGAAGGACAGCCGTTTGCAATATGTCTCCTTCACCGATGCGATCGAGTATAGCATACAAGCGAATGATTCCTGGGACGCATGTTTTCGAGAAAACCGCTTTTGAAACGGTATACATCGGCTCAATAATTTAATCACAGCAAATAGCAGACATGCCATTTTTATATAATTGCGTCAAATGCATGATATATATTTAATATCTTTAAAATCCAGATTCTGCCGCTACACGAATTATGTAAAAAAGATCAAACAGAATTTTAATTTTATGTTTTAATAATTATTTATATTAAATTTTTATGTCAAATTTTCGAGATTCTTTGTATACTTAATACACGTATTACTATACATTTATGATCAAGTTTATGCAAGAATGAGTAAAAAATAAGACTCTACATTTATATATGTGTATAGACCGTTTTCAATCATTTCTGACGTATTAACGAATACTGAGTCTTATTCTTCCCAGCTGTTATCTGCAAGGTATTCAATCAGAAAACAAAATGACAATAATCCGTTTTTCCTGCGCCGTCAGTTCATAAATAACTCGATAATAAGTCGATTTCCATCGAACAAAGTAGTTTACCTTGGTCTCTCAATTCTAATTACAAGCCATTATAATTACTACATGTATTTGTCCTTGAAAGTGACACATACGGAAATGGCAAAAGATATATATTATGTTTAAAAATATACAATAATCGTATCTCTTTTTGCACAGCGATGTCAATTTATTAAACGAAATGTTATTATTATCGTACAATACTGTTTACAATAATTACAAACGATCATTACTAACAAATTCTATTTGAATAAAATTTAGTTTCTTTTGGGAAACTTTCGAGCATATAACATACGTATAAGAATTATAAGCGAGTGCATTCAAAAATTTCATAATTCTGATTTCTCTCATTTGATGAATTCGCGTTCCGTGTTTACCGTTATAATTATTAATATATAAGTTCGTGAAAGAATAATAAAACGCTGATATGGGCTTGCGACGGAATTTTTACGTACAATAAATCACGCTATAACATCCAAAATTCCATATACACATATATCAGCCGTTTTTACGGCGTGCAAAGCAAGAAAAGCGTCTCGTTGGAATTCATCATGCATAACTTAGTAAGTCAACGCACTTGAACATCAGCGTGTATGCGTAGAAGCGTAAACACTACGTGCGAATTCCTCGCGTAATCGCCTCTCATTATTCTTTGTTTGACGAAGATGCATTTGGTCGCTTCGTGCCTATATCAATACTTCTAATGACTGCTATAGCAAAAACTGAACTTTCAACTCGGTTCACACTTACATGTAAACGCATTGTTATTATGAATTTTAATAATCTAAAAGAGCGCATAAATACTTAACCTAGCTAGTGAGCAATTAAAATCTTTATCGAAGCTGCCAAAATTCGCGATTGCTCGAGCATTCTTTTTGATTATTTTCGAGTGACACACAATTATGCCTAAAACCTTAACATAATGAAAAATACAAGCAAAATAATGTTACGTATTCTGATATACACAGTTTTTAATAAGTCTTTATTCCTGTTCCTATTGTCTATGTTTTTTAATCGTGCAATTAAACCTTAAACACAATGAAAAACACAGACAAAAGGAAAAAAATGTTAAATTTTAATAAATATTTGTTGAAATAATTTTAAATATTTATACTAAATGTAAATATATATATTTCTTTATTTGATACAAAAACCATTAATTTGATTTAATTATAAATTTTTTATTGTACAAAATAAATGTTTCTTCAATATTATTCAAAGAAATATGTACTAGGATTTTTTGTAATTTGTTGTAATTTTGTAATTTTTATAATTTTTTTTCAGTACAGAGAATAACAGATATTCAACCTATCAGAAACTATGTATACAGAATGTACTGTTTCTGATTAAAATCTGTTATTTCCTTATAATTGCCTATGCTTTTCATTGTGTTTAAGTTTATATTATATACGCGTTACATTATAAACTGTTTTAGCTACTCGCCACATGATGATAATAAAAGATAATATAACAACAACCGCATTCGCGATCATATCAAATATGATATCCGATAAATCGCCGACCGATAGATCAATCGACGATTTAATTTTAGTCAGATCGACTCAATTGGTATGTAACAGATTCGTCGCAGCAATAAGATCGGGAAATTCGGTAGGAAGAAAATCATCAGTAGCACCAATGGTGACAGCAGCAGCAAAATGTTAGCGTATACCACCAACCACCAGATCGACAAAGTTCCCAGAACCGGCTCTAACATTATGATCCCCCGCCGGTCAAGAGGTCGAGCACACGAGTATAAAAACACGAGTGGGAGCAAAGCACTCGTATTCCGAGCTATCCGGTTTTATGAAGGTAAAGTACTCCCCGATCATGCTCGGTTTTTCATCGTTGGAT